GAGAGAGCGTGTGAGTGGGGGAAGGACAGAGAGGGTAACAGAAGATCCAAAGTGGACTCTGCGCTGACAGCAGCGAGCCTCATGTGGTAATCAAACTCACAAACTGCAAGATCATCTGAGCTGAAGTCAGATGCTTAACTAACTGAGTGCCACTAGGCACCCCGAATTTTGCATTTTAATTTGTGTACTTTTCAACTTCAGAATTGCTAGTTGGGTCTTTCTAAAAACTTTATTTTTTTTTTTGCTGAAATATCCTCCTGATACTTTCCTTTCTTTCTTTATATATACATGGTTTCCTTTAGTTTTTTGAATATATTTTAAAATGTGTGATTTAAAGTTTTTGTCTACTAATTTCAATATGTGGGCTTTCTCAGAAACATTTTCTGTTGGCTCTTTTCTTCCTGTGTCTATGGGCCATATTTCCTTGTTTGTTTCTTATTTATTTATGTATTTATTTATTGCATTTCTTATAACGTTTTTTTTAAAAAAACTGGATATTTTAAATAATACAGTATGACACTGGTAGAAATCAGATTATCCCCTACCTCAGGGTTTATTGTTGCTATGTGTTGTTTGTTTAATGACTTTTCTGATCTAATTCTACAAAGTCATTAAAGTCCGTATTCTTTGCATTGTGTGGCTATTAACATTTCTGCTTGGTTAGCTTAGTGGTCAACTGGTGATTGGACAGGGATTGCTTTAAATATCTAGAACCATAACATTGTTAGTCTTTTCCTGGGAACAGTCTACCTCAGAAGTAGGAAGTGAGGGTAGGAATAGAGCAACTTAAAACATTCTTACTATTCTTACCAAGATTTAGCCAATAATCTTGAATAGACATTTCCTGGAATGATTTAGTTAATTCCAGGGTTACTTTGTTTAAAGGAATGATACATCACACCCACAAAAATATTAAAATTAAACATTCACATGAGTCCCACAACATTAAGAGAGAGTCAAATCTGGAGAAAAACCATCACCTTTTTGAAGCCGTGTTCATAGCTGTTTCCCTGATTTGGTCTTTGCTCAACCTGTTTTAATTTTAGCCTCATTTGCTATCTGTATATACTGAAAAATTTCAAAATAATCAAGACCTGGTTTCTTTTTGTCTAACAGCCCTTCCTTTAGGATAGCTCTCCTCTTAGATTTTATATAATTAGCAAGAAAAGACCAGAGGGCATCTCAACACTTACTTTAAAATTTCCCTAGATAGATCACCCAGTCTATTATGTACATTTTCTACCCTCCAGGTTACTGCAAACAATAGTGTTATAAAACTTTCTGCCACTACAAAATAAGTATATTCTTTCCTCTGCTTTCCAGTAACATTTACATCATTGTCCTACAAATCCTCACCCTCCACATCTTATCAAAGATCATGAAGCTCCTATTAGCAATTTCTTCTTGGTACTGTTTGATTTACAATGTTATTTCTCCACAAAGCCCACTGCCTGGTTCTAAAGCCATATGTACATTTTTCCTATAGAAGCATCTCACTAACATGTATCAAAATTTGTTTTATTTATTATTATCATTTAACAAATTATCCCCTAAATTTAGCAGTTTAAAATAACAAACATTTATTATCTCACATTTTCTCTAAGCTGGGTATCTCAAAGCAGCATAGCTGGATGTTTCCAGCTTGGTTTCTCACTTGGGTGTAGTCAAAGGGTCAGCTAGGGTTACAGTCATCTGGGATTTGATTCATCTAGAAAATCTTCCAAGTTCATTCATTGGTTGTTTGCTGGAGACCAGGTCCTCTCCATGTGAGCCTCCCCATAGAGCTTCTAATAGTATGGCCTCCTCCAGAATGAGTAATAAGAGAGTTGGAAGGACAGAAGAGACGATGCGGAGTTGGGGGGAAGGGACAGCAAACACTAACATTTAAGAGTATCCAAGATAGATACTTTATATCTTTATTTTTTTATAATTTAATTTTAGAAGTGACATGCTTCTTTAGTATGCTGTTGATCACCCATACCACAGCTGATGTGGCATTGAAGAGAGTGCACAACAGAATGAAACCAGGAGGTAGGAATCATTGAGGGAGCATCTTGAAACTGGCGGTTATAAAGAGCTTGTTAAACTTTGAATTAGTTAAATTTGTAACCTGAAGAGATAGGGCAAAAAAAGTTATTTTTGTCTTCTTGGGGGCTATAGACACTATTTCCATGTGGCAGCATTGTCTCTTCTAGCCAAATATTTATTACTTGCCTGACCTTTAACAACTGATGATTCCTCATCTGTATCTCTAGTTAACTCATTTGCTTGTACACATAATCTAGAAGGCTTAGTAGCTAATCAGCATTTTCTTTATCTCTTTGCCTTTCTCTTTTTTAATTAATTAAACATATACTTATTCCCCAATATAAAGAGCCAAAAACTGAGTACATGTAAAGAATAGAGCAGCATTATGTATTCTGCCTTAAACTTAGCTATAAACTCAACTCTAAAGTTGTAGCCCTAGAGAGATGATATGAATCCAAATATGTTTCAGTTCTTTTTTTGGGTAAATTTAATTATTTTGAATTTATAAGGTGACAGTCAATAAATTACAGGATAGTTAAACAAAATGCTTAGAAGTAAATTCCTATCTCCTTTTAACACATAATACAAAGCAAAATTAAATTTGAAAAAATATGTAAAAGAGTGTTCACAGAAGTCTTCAAAGATTCCTGTGGTAATAATCAAGAAATGGTACATACTGGGAATCCCTATGTACAACATGGAAATTAATTGTTTTGGTGAATCACATCATTTAAGGTACATGTGCTAATATTGCCTATTCTGGACCAAAAAGTATTACATGTACTTAGAAATTACTATTTTTCTAGTTAGTTAATAATTTTATATTAACCTAGTTAATATTTTTACATATTTGGCAGTTTGTGACTTAAATAAAACATAACTGCTCAGTCTCCGTCTTAATGGCTAATGTTTACTAGACTGTTAAAATATGCCAAGTACAGGAATTCAGTATTTTATCTACACCCTTACATAACTTTAAAATATCCTGTGAGCAAGCTCTATTGTGATTTCTAAGATTCTGTTATCATTTCCATTTTTATGAATAGAGAAACTAAAACATAGAGGGGTATGTGATTATCCTGAGCTCATTAAGATGGCTAAGATTACAACCTATACGTATTATCTTTTTATTTTTTCCAGTACCTGAAAACAAGAGTGCCTCTCTTTCCTATTGGGTTCTAAATGAATAAATGTGAAGGCTAACATGTTACTTTTTTATAGGTCCACAGTTCCTTCCTTCTCTCAGGTGTTTTTTTCAGAATTTAAAACTTTTTTTGTTTTGAAAGAGGTAATATAACCAGGGTGTTTATTATGTAACATCTCCAGCAGATCCAAAACAGTACCCTGTGATCAAATATATTGATACTTTTCCAGCATTATAAATAGATTTCATTTCAGCCTAGATCACATTTTGCTATCAAATTTGGTAGTGGTCATTGTGGAGAAGTTTGTTGCTTCTCCTCATCTCCATATAGTATATGTTGTCAAACCATTTTGTATTAAGTTTTTTTTTTTTTTTAATGTTTCTTATTTTAGAGAGAGTGTGTGTGCAAGCTGGGGAGAAGGCTTGGTGGGGGAGGGGGGTAGAGAGAGAAAGGGAAAGAGTGAGAGAATCCCACACTCACTACCCTGGGACTGTGACATGAACTGAAATCAAGAGTCAGACACTCAACTAGCTGAGCCACCTAGGCATTCCCCCCTTCCCCATCTTCAATTTTAGAGTCATGGACTTATTACAGTAGGTGTTCTGGGGAACTTGTCTTCAGATCTCTTAGACATGTGCTCCAGCTAATACTGAACCCCAAAGCAAAAGAGACTTAATCCTTCAGTTTCAGATAGCCCTGGATCAGGACAGGCCTATTAATAACACTAATCTCCCTGGGTAAGTTGAGATATTTAAGGAGCAAAAGTTTAGTATCTCAAGGTTCACTTTTAAGAGGAAGGCATATGGAGCCTAATCACGTCTGCATAGTTATCTTTTCCAATTTACCAATAGGTCTACATCTGAAGGAGCAGAGGAAATAAAAGGATTGAAGTCCAGAAGTATGTGTGTGGACAAACCACCATCACCCAGTCAGTCTCCCCAATACCAAAACTCCTTATCGCTATACTATGTTTACAAGTAGTCTGTCCTTATTCCACACCTCTTATATAAATCATTCAATTGTTTTACCTCTTGTATAAGTTCAAGCAGAATTGTATATCACTGCTGACCTTCATTATAGTTACAGCAGATCAACATGTTTGGGGGTCAGTAATGATATTGCTATTTTTATAGGAGACTCTTAGTAGATACATGCTGAAATATTTAGGAGTGAAGTGTCATAATTCTACAATTTACTTTCAGTGGTCCTGCGAATAAAAAAAGTTTAAAAAGTGAATATGATGGAATACTAACAAATTCTTGAATCTTGGTAGAGGCTGCCTGTGTCACTGTATAGTTTTTTATCTTTATGATTGGAATTTCTCAGTGTAAGTTGAAGAAAGAAAATTTTTTGATGAGCTTCAGGTTACTTTATGTAGAATTCTATATAGATACACACTTGATAGAATTGAAGAATTTAATAGTAATAGTTATGAGAATTTAGATGTTTTGTTTAATAGTTAATGCATGCACGCACTTTGTATATTAAGTTAGAAATGGCCTAGTTACAGTTTATGATCACATTGTAAATGTTTCAATATCTAGTAGAATACCTTTGAATTAAAACTGAAAATAAGCTGTTTTGCTTCTCTAATTCTTTGTATTTTAGTTTAGGACCAAAATTGTTTGTTTTTAAGAAATTATTAAGTATGTCAAGTTTTGGGTTGATGTAACACTAATTAAATCTACAGGATTTCTATTGCTAAGTCATAGAAAGCATTAGCCATTGTGGACTGAACTAAAAGACTCCTGAAACTAAAAATAAATTTACATATTGGTATTTTGCATTTCTCTTTTTTAATGCTTATCATATTTATTTCTTCCCTAGATCTTCCTCAGAACTGTGATCCTAACATTCCCTTAGTTGCTCAGGAATTAATGAAAAAGATGATACGTCAGTTTGCAATTGAGTATATTTCAAAAAGTGGTAAAATTCAAGAAAATAGAAATGGTTCAATTGGACCAAGTCTAATATGTAAAAGTATACAAATGAATCAAGCAGAAAACTCCCTTCAGGAAGAGCAGGAAGGCCCCTTAGACCTCACTGTGAATCGAATGCAAGAACAAAATACTCAGCAAGGTAAGACTCTGTGATGTGTGTGTGTGTGTGTGTGTGTGTGTGTGTGTGTGTGTGTAAAACATAATGTTTTAGTATTTAACATATATAAACCATATATTCATAAAGAAATATATTTTAGGAGTAATATTATGTGTAATTGGCCTCTATGATATGAACTAGAGAGAAGTGCTGAAATTTATATTGCATTGGACTGTTTATAAAAGAGGAAACTGGAGTTGCTCTTCATCTCTTTTCATAATAAAAAGTATGGTGAGAGAACCATTTGTATTCTTTGCTTACTTATTTTTTAATTAAAAAATTTTTTTAAGTTTATTATATTTTGAAAGAACGAGTAGGGGAGGGGCAGAAATAGAGAGAGGGAGAGAGAGAATCCCAAGCAGGCTCTGCACTGTAATGATTCACAGAGGAAAGGAAGGAAGGGCCTTTTTAAAAAAATTTTTTTTAATGGTTTATTTATTTCTGAGAGAGAGAGAGGCAGTGTAAGCAGTGGTGGGTCAGAGAGAGAGACACAGAATCTGAAACAGGCTCCAGGTTCTGAGCTAGCAGTCAGCACAGAGCCCGACGCGGGGATTGGACCCATGAATCGTGAGATCACGACCTGAGCCAAAGTCAGCGCTTAGCCGACTGAGCCACCCAGGTGCCCATATATTTTTTTAATAAAACCATACTGCTGTGGTATAGATGGGTAGCCTCTACTTTGCATACTTGCACACCAAATCTTAAAAAAAAAAAAAAAAAAAAAAATGGAGCACATATTCTTTAAGGCATTTATGTGTGGATATGTGTGTGTATGTATACCCATCAACATCTGTACTAATCTTTCCACAAGTTAAAACTTTTAAGGTTGAAGTAAAGATACTATAAATAATTTTTAAAAGTCTTGCTAATCAGGGGTGCCTGGGTGGCTTAGTCGGTTCAGCGTCCGACTTTCGCTTGGGTCATGATCTCGCGGTTCGTTGGTTTGAGCCCCGCGTCGGGCTCTGTGCTGACTGCCAGCTCAGAGCCTGGAGCCTGTTTCAGTCTGTGACTCTCTCTCTCTCTGACCCTCCCCTGCTCACGCTGTCTCTCTCTCTCTCCTAGAAATAAATAAAAACATTAAAAAAAAAAAAAAAGTCTTGCTAATCATAACTTCATGTCAGTATCTTATTACACAGTGTAGACTTCGGGAGAATTTTATTAGTAATGATAGAAGGTGTAAATCCATATTTCAAATGGTTTTCTTTTTCTTTTTTATTAAATTCTTTTTTTATTTATTTCTAAGAGAGACACAGAGAGAGACAGCATGAACAGGGGAGGGTCAGAGAGAGAGGGAGACACAGAATCCGAAACAGGCTCCAGGCTCTTAGCTAGCTGTGAGCACAGAGCCTGACACGGGGCTCGAACCCACAAACCATGAGGTCATGACCTGTGCCAGAGTCAGACGCTTAACGGATTGAGCCACCCAGGTGCCCCTCAAATGGTTTTCTTAAGAATTAAAATTTTTGGCCTGAATTCACTGTTCTTACCTATAACCAATAAAGTGCTCACACTAGAAGTAACCTTTGTTCTGCCTTTGTTTATTTATTTGCTAGTGCTTACATTTTTCATATCATTCTCATTTTATGTCTTTACAGTACTCATTTAAGCCCATTGTTCATTTTCCATTTTAATTTATTCAAATTAGATAATGTAATCCATAAATCTAATACCTAATCTAACCATAAATAATGAGGATAACTTATAGGTAGCCTAACTTATAAATATTTAAATTATCAAACACAAATGGTTTTATAAGTAAGCTTCATATATTTAAAGCAATAGATAATTTTTGTCTTTCATAGTCTATCTTAAAGAATAGAAAAGATGGAGGACCATGGGGGATAAGAAGGGGAAAAATAGTTGGGGAGAGGGAGGGAGGCAAACCATGAGAGACTCTTGAATGCTGAGAACAAACTGAGGGCTGATGGGGGTGGGGGAAAAGGGAAGGGAGGTGATGGGCATGGAGGAGGGCACTTGTGGGGATGAGCACTGGGTGTTTTATGGAAACCAACTTGACAATAAACTATTTTTAAAAAAAAAGAAATCATAATTGCACTATATGCTAACTTGGATGTAAATTAAAAAATAAATAAAAAGTAAAAAAATAAAGAATAGAAAAGAAAGAAATGTTAGTTTAATCTTAATATCAAACCAAACAAAATAGCAAAAGAAAGAAATTTCCAAACTAGTCTTACTCACAAACATAGGTGCAAACATCCTAAATAAATATTAGCAAATTGAATATAGTGAAGTATAGAAACATAATAAGTAATAACAGGGAGGCATGGATGATTCCACATTTGAAAAATCTCTGTGATTTTCCACATTACCAAAAAAAATAGAAAAAAGATAAAAGAAGCATATTATTCTAATATACAGAAAAAATTCTCCAAAAGCTGACACATACTTACCAAATTAAGAGTACCATGAGCACTGGCACTACCAAAAATATCATAACCCAATGATTTAAAGTAACGGACAAGAGGGGTGCCTGGTGGCTCAGTCAGTTAACCGTCTGACTTTAGTTCAGGTCATGATCTCACAGTTCGTGGGTTCAAGCCCCGCATGGGGCTCTGTGCTGACAGCTAGCTCAGAGATTGGAGCCTATTTCGAATTCTGTGTCTCCCTCTCTCTCTGACCCTCCCCTGATCACATTGTCTCTCTGAAATAAATAAAAAACATTAAAAAATTTTTTAAAAAGTAATGGACAAGACAACAATATTCACTATTGCCTATTTTCAACATTATCTGGATCATAAGAAGTTCTGACTTCTGTAACACGATGAGAAAAAAATGGAAATATGAAAATAAGCAGTAATAAATAATGTGTTATAAGAAAAGAATGAACAAAAGTGGTGGCTTACAAACAATATGGTTGTGGATATAGAAAATATGAAAGAATAGGTAAACTTTCACTTATTAGAACTGATAAAAAGTTCAGAGAAAGTACTGCTCACATGATCAGTATATATTACTGCTGATATCAGCAACCACCTGGTTAGACAGTCCCATGTATAAAAAATCTCATTTACAATAGCAACAAAAGCAGGAAATGCACCAAAACATCTAAGAATGAAACTAATAAACTGTTTAAAACCTTATAGATAACATAAGACTATCGAAGGACACAAATAAGACTCCCCAAATAAGCAATTATATTTTAAATGAATGGACAGACTCTAAAAGATGGCATTTTATGCTTAATATGTTTACAGATTCAGTGTCATTTCAGTCAAAATTCTCATATGGTTTGTTGTAAAAACTGACTTGCCAATCCTAAAATTTATGAGCAATACATAAAGAGCTAAGAAAAACTAAGTGTGGCTGAGGGAGTCCCTCTAAAACATATCAAGACTTACTTGGTGCAATAATGTTAAAACATGGTTCTGTTGCCCATATACAAATTAGTAGAACAGCAAGCTGGAAACTCTCCAAACATTAGTGGAATCTGGTACAAGATAGAGATGTCATTATAAATCACTGGGAAGGATGGCCTATTGAATTAATGGTTCCAGGGCAACTGGTTACCCATTGTAGTACCAAAAAGAAAAAAGATGATTCCTATCTCACACCTCTCACAAAAGTAATTCAAGTGGGTTAAAGGGCTAAATTGTGAAAAGAAAAATAGAAAGGAAATATAAACGATTATATCCTACTGAACTCAAAATAAGGAGGAATTTCTTAAGAATTTCTTAAATTTCTTAAGATGCAAGAGTAACTGTACAACAATGTTGTTAATTTGACTGTATTGAAATAAACTTAAGTATTCTAAAAGACACTATGAACAGAGTGAAAATTCAAGCCTCAAATGGAGATAGTATTTATAACTGATGTAACTGGCATTCAACTAATAGACAGAACTGCAGCAAATGAGAAAAACGTTGACAACTATGTAGAAGAATAGGCAAAAACAGTTGGCCGAATAGAGTTGGCCATATAAGCAAAGAAAAAGATACTCAAAAGAATATCCTATCCAGCCTCTGCCCCAATATAGGGTGTTTTATTCTCTACTGAAAGAGATAGTAATTCAATTGCTGGTTGACAGTAAATACATATAAAAAATCTTTGTTTGACTGCTCTTGACAATTAAGGTCATATATCTGAAATATCCATCCTTGGCTTTCATTTTTTTTTTTTCTATCTGCAGCAGTGTTTTCCTTAACAGTACTATAAATATTTCTAGAAATTATTGTATCTCTACGACCTCTGTTTTCCATGCTAATCTTTAGAAGTTTTTCCTCCCATCTGCAGCAATTTACTCCTTCTACTAGCACTGTAAATATTTATTGAAACTATTATGCCTCTCTCTAAACTTATGTTTTCCATGCAGATCTTTTCATCTAATTGTTCCTCATAAGTCAGTTTCCATATTCATCATTTTCCTGCAACTCTAGACTAAAAATATAGTTACTCTAAGGGAAACTCCCATTTACCTCTCCATTGTACTTTCTAGCCAGGTGTTTCAAACATTATAGATATTTCTTTGTGTACTTTCATTTCTACAGATTTGTGTAAATACTCTGATCCTCAGATACTGGGAGGAAGTAAGTCATGCATTGCTTGTACCAGTGATTCTTTTTGCCCTGGCACACTAAGTTAAAACCAGGTAGAAATAATATTAGCATATCATTTTTTAAAAATTTCAGTTTTAACCTAGGGCCAAAGTAAAAACCTCCTAAATTCCACAAGAGAGGAGGAGCTTACCAGTCCTACACAAAACAATATCAGATGTGGGCAGAAATGAAACAGTGTGTCATTGGCCCTGTTGGTGTGGATTTCTGCCCCGAAGTCCAGTGAATATTCTGGTAGAGCTTTTATTATAGTAAATTTCTCCTTGCATTGCGATTGTTGCCATGTTTATCTTTCCACTATAATATATCCTTTGGAAGCAGGAACCTGCCTCTTGATTTTTATATTCCCATTACATATATGATGTATGACATATTGGATTAAAAATTTTCATTGTTTTCAAACACTACTGA